ATGGCAAACCAGTTTTGAAAAATCTTGCCAAAAAAACTGCAGGATCAGTTTTTTTTGGCAATGAATCAAGGTAGACTCAGAGGTACATGTGTGCTCTTTCTCACACATACACTAGCAAGCATTAGCCCACAGAGGTTAAAATACTGGTTGGTCCACTCCATTTATATTAAGCCTTATCAAATAATAAGGCAATAAATATCAAGCTGGGAACAAAATAATGCTGAGACACAAAGGGCAAAAGTTCTTCTTGGGACATATTGAGATAGAGTTCACCTTCTAAAACTATACATTTCAGATGGAGAAACAGGAAGGGTACATCTTGAACAGAAGAAAAATAAACAGAAGAAAAACTGCAAAGTGAAAAGATTTTCACAACTTAAAACATTTTAACAAGAAATGAGTGCTTTGCATTTATAGTCTGGAATGTGCATCCTTTAGAACTCTTTAAATATTAAATCAATCTAAGAATTTGCAAGGCAACTTAAGTATCTAACACCTAAGAAAAATAACTTAAGAAATGCTGGTGATATCTCAGCCAATGCTAAAAGACTGTTTGATAGAAATAGATGACAAGACAGGACCTGCTAAATGGATTATGTGAATACTCTGCTCATAATACCAAACCTCCCAATTTTAGGGCACTTTGGACAATACAATCGATAGCATAGGATTTGTAATTTATGAACCCAAACTCCTGGAGTGCACTATCTTGCCCATTCAAGAGATGTAATTCTTTTTGGTTTACTATATTTTAACATTTTGCTTCAAAAGAAAAAGTTTTAATGACTCTGGCTTGCTGCAGTATAATATTGATTTAACGAAACCAGTTCCAGATAATATTTTGGATTGATTTAATAGGAACTTCAAGTGAAGTTTTAAGATATCTTTGTTGGTGTTATTTATCATATCATAGAACAGACATTGGCCTTTATGCCTCCACTTACAGAAAGCTGTAAACAATGTGCTGAATCCAAAGGAGTGTAAACACTTATTATGAAATACTTGGCAATTAGCCACCTGACTCAGCCCATTTCTTCCTGCAGTGAAGACAAAATGTACTATATAGTAAAACGACTATTCTGGAAATAGTTAAGTATTTATTCAGCAACTTCAGCTAAGAATTCATTTGGATTAATAAACGCCTGTTTTGACCTTGATTATTATGAGCTGAAGGAATTGCATAACATGAGTTAACTTTGGTCATTGATCTTTGGCACTGCTCTATCAGAACTGAAAATGAGAGAGAGAGAGAAAATGGAATACAGGTAGTCCTCAACTTACGATCACAATTGAGCCCAAAATTCCTGTTGCTAAGCAAGATAGTTATTAAATGAATTTGCCCCTATTTTTCTTGCCATAGTTGTTAAATGAATCACTGCAGTAATTTAGTAACACAGTTGTTAAGGGAATCTGGTTTCCCAATTGACTTTGCTTATCAAAAGTTCACCAAATAGGATCACATGGCAACGGGACATTGCAACCATCATCAATATGAGACAGTTGTCCAAATTTTGATCACGTGACCTGAATATGCTGCAATGGTTGTAACTGTGAAAAATAGTCATGATTCACTTTTTCAGTGCTGTTGTAGTTTTGAGCAGTCATTAATTGAATGGTTGTAAGTCGAGGACTACCTGTACTACACATTCAGGCTAATGTTAACTTTCAGGCATCTTCAGAAATAAGATGTTACTTTTACCTGAAGAAATGTCTACATATCCCAAGAGTCTATATAGTTTTAAAAACACATTACCAATTCCAGTCAGTTTCTAAATATAATAACCAAGCATTAGCAGATAATAACTTTTCTTTAAAAGAATAAAATTGTTAAATGTTGACAATTTTTTTTAACCATATGTTCATATACGTTGGAGATATTTCATAACAATTCATAGTAAAAATGTATTGTACAGTAGTCCTTGGCTTACATCCGTCTGTTTAGGGACCATTGAATTTCCAACTGTGTTGAACAAGGGGTACTTACAATGAGTCCTCTGAGTTCTGACTATCACAATCCCTGATGTGATTGTGATTTCTGACACACTTTGCTGGCTTCCCATAAATAAAGTAAACGGGGGAGTTAGCAGGATGTTGGAAGTCACAGTCATGTGAAGTCCTCATTTAATAGCCTGCATGTGTCAGGCATGAACAACCAGATCCACACATGAAAACTTTAATTAGCCATTTTATTGCTCAAACCTGGGAATCTTCTCAGAGTAGCAGTTTGCACAGAGGCTAGATTTGATAGGTTCAATAACGTGTGTGTGTGTGTGTGTATGTCAGATTATGCCATCTTATGCCAACGTAGAGGTTCCAGGCTAATTCCCACTTGACTCCTCCCACTGCCTTAGCCAGTCTCTTTCCAACCACATTGTCCTCACTTAATGACAGCAACAGGGATTGCCATAACTTATTCACTAATTATTATTCACTAATCTAATTTAGTAGATGATAAACAAAATAAGGCTGAAGACAAAGTTAAAATGCAGTCATGAAACAACCAAACATTTATAAGTGAGGTCCACGATTCAGCCTACATTACATTATAATGTAAACATTAAATTTATATTAAATGCAACAACATGTAAAATTATTATAAAGTGATAATATCTAAAATTTAAGTGAATTATGGTTATATAGAATGTTTTGCAAAATAGTTTAGATAACAGTTTAACAAGGTTAATTTAGCAGATATCAATGTTTTCTCAAAAGATCAAAGATTGTTGGCTAATAATATGAAAATCTAATTTAGGACTGAAAGAAATGTGGCTTTAAAGATGGTTTTCAAATATTACAAATATAAAAAATATATCTCATCTTCTTGTTGGCCACACCCATCAAATTATATTAAGCCATATATTACTTACCACAAACCATTATATTCCTCCTTGACTTCTTTAGTTAGTAGCAGAAGCAAAGCAAGCTATATTATTTCTTCACATTATTTTTTTTAAAGTAACATAAAATCTGGGAATTTCTACTTGCTCCATCGCTTACTAGACATTTGATAGAAATGGCTATATTTTATGCCAGGAAGATGTATCTAAATACCTCAATATTATATAGTTTGGCTGAGACATGTTATTCCTATGCTACTGTATCTGGTCAGCATAAATCCATTTGATCACTAACTGGCAATAACATTTTAAGTTTATTTTTATTTTATTATTTGTACCTCTTTGCTACCATCTAGTAAATGTTTGGATTTCTGCAACCTTGATATGGAAGACATAACATTGCAGGTATTTTATCTGAGTTAATTAAATTATGTTTCTCTTGAAAATCATTTAGCTATATTTCTTTAAATATTAACATTCTGATTTTCCTGATTTTGAAGATTCCAAATATTCTTTCAGACAGAGATTACTGATTATTCAGTCAAAAAATAAATAAAGGTAGCTTATTAAAAAAATTAAAAGTTACATTGGCATAAAGATGCAAATAAACTAGGAAATACAGTAATTTTTCATCACACATGGATTCTTTCCTTTGTGTTTCCCTTTTGATTGTATCACCTCTCTGGCTCTTTCATTCTGGCTGCAGCTTCTGTTCTGTGATGTCATCAAAAGGAACCAGATTGAACTAGCCAGGAACTTGACAAAGCCGCAGGGCCTAAAGTTTATCCTCAAATTGCTGATGAGCCACATCAAAAGTAGAACAAGAGGCTGAAAATCCCTTATAGGGTACTGAACATACCAAAATATTAGCAAAAATAAACACCCAGCAAGTTATGCTGCATGAAATACAGTAGTATCTAAAAGCCACAATACAATTGTATTTATAGTCTACAACTTCAATTTATCAACCTATGCCATAAGTGCCAGGAAGAAATCTTTGTTAAGAGAGCATTTTCACATTATGCATAGGGGTCGCTTTACAAATAAGAGTTAATGTTGTTTTCCAGTTTTTTCTCTTCCTCCACCCATAGAAATTACTTTATGTATAAATGAATTCCGTTCCAATCAAAAGTATTCTAATTGTTTTGAGAAAGTGTTCTGTACTTAGTGAAGGCAGATGTTCTGAAATATAACTTAAATGATATTTTTGGAATTGTTTGTTGACAGCCAAAAGATAAAGATTTCCTCAAGCTCAATTTAACTTTTAGTGGCTCTAGTAAAACATAGTTTTCTCTCTAACTTTCTAAAAGGAGTTTGTAACTATATAGAAAGGGTTTGCAACATCCTTTTTCTCATTTCCCAGACTAAATTACAGTTTTGAGATTTCCTGGCTATGTTCTTATCCAAGTATTAATTGGATAGGATATAGGTAGCTTTTGTGGTTAAATGTTGCTAGCATATCACATTTGCAATAACACCAGAAATAGATACACCAGAACATATAATTTGGATTAAGGTATTCAAATCCAAACTCCTAACACAGGGGTGTCTTTTGTGCAGCGATTTAAACAACATATAATAAAAATATTATCCTTCTACCTGGCAATCTTGAATGCATATAACAATGAACCTATACCTAGAGCCCAAAAGTGATTCAAATAACAGTACTGTACAAAGAATATTAATACATTTCAGAAATATACTTCTGCAATTCTTAATCCACACATGGCTACATTATAGTTCTTTGGTAGTTTCTTTTAAATCTGTTTTAAAAGCTCTCCTTTTACTTTGAAAAGCCTCTTCCTCTGCTTTCCTAAATAACAGTTTCTGTAACAATAGGTTAGAAGCAATAAATATTTCCATGATATTGTATTTAGATATAATTATAAGAACACTGAAGACTAACATAGCGCCTGTGTATATTTATATTGGAAGATCTGAAATCATAATCAGATCTTGCTATGAACATAAAACTGCACCTAGTATAGATGAGAAAATGTAATTTTCCTCTAAACTTTAGTGATTAATTACTATATATTACATGCAAAGGGGAGGGGAGGATATTTTAATTTGGGTTTTTACAGCACCCTTATGGTTGCTAAGAGTCAACACCAATTTGATGGCACATAATCATAATAACAATTGTGTGAAAAGGACACTTACATATATGGTCATCCATCTTCAGAGGTCGTTGCAAGCGGATATTAGCAGGAATTGTTCTATTGATCAACTCATCAATCGTCTAAAAATACAAGGGATATATCAAAGCATCATAAGAATCAAATTTAGACCTCTACTTCTTGTAAGATTCATAGTCAAAGAGGCTAAAGGGAGGCACCATAAAAGAGGTTTAAGAAATGTTCATTAAACTTCTCAATAACAAAAAGAGATTTTGTGAAATTCAATTCACATTCTTCCTCCATCCTTTTGAATGGAGATCAGTTGATGTGACATGGTGGAAAATGATTTAGGATAAGATGATGTGAGTCGGAGGGAGAGGGATACAAAGACAAAGCAAATCGGGTGCTGCTAAAAGGGGAATGTTAAAGAAACTAGGGGGGGTGGGAGGAAGGAAGAAAGAGGGAGAAAGAAAGAAAGAAAGACAGACAGACAGACAGACAGACAGACAGACAGACAGAAAGAAAGAAAACTCAGGTGGAGCTTCCTCACCGACAAACCGATGGTTTGCAGCATCTCTTGCTTCTCTTTGTCCCCTGGACCGATGTGTCGCTCGGAAAAGTCATCGTGGCTGCCCAGGAGTTTCTCGATGTGCCTGGAAGAGGCGGTGGCGACAGCGGTGGCCGCTCTCGCTCCGGGGTTGCTACTGCTTCTTCTCACACAAGCCAGTCTCAGCTGCTCCCTGCGTCCCCATCGGCCTGGCGGCTTCTTGCCTCCCCAGACGCTGCCATGGTGCCCGTGCAGATTGCCCCCCCGACCCACCAGCCTCCCCCACCACTGGACGCAAGACTGCATGATGCCTAGAAGGCGACGGTCCCCAATTCGCCCGGGCAAAGTTAGTTTGCGCCTCGAAGACGGCAGCCGGCAACTCTTTCCTCCCAGGCCCCCCGACCCTATTATAGCCCCCAAGCCGATCGTCAGCCGAAGGGAGGGCCTTTTGGCCCCGCCCTGCCTCTGATCTCCCCGCCGAAGCCACCTGCCGAGAGGCTGCCCCCTCGCCAGCCAATGCGCGCTCCTCCCAAGGCTGGATTGGACAGGACAGGACAGAACAATCGACGCCAAACTGGCTGTCAGCCAGTTCCTCGCAGTCAGGCGTTATCGTAGTTGTTTCTCCAGGTTGAAAATAAAGATGATGACGGAGAGTGTTGAAATGATCTTTTTTTCTCCTTTTATTTTTTATTTTCACTCATTTTTCCTCCTACCCTAATTTTTGTTTCAATACTTTCCACACAAGGATCACTTGTTGCTGAAGAAATACTCCTTAGTAACTCATTCTGCCAAAGGCAAATCTCCATAGCTGGTATAAGGATAACCCAACAAGGAGTTTTGGAAGGTATGGCCAGATGTCTCCACAAGTCTCTCTTGGCCACCAGCCACAGTTCTGCTACTGGAAGGAGTGAAATGTTCAGCAATGTTTGTCTTGATCTTCCAACTCAGTAAGCTGAAAATGACAGAGAGCGCAATGAATGTTATGAATCATGGCATTTGGTTGGGTCCTCATGACTGTCATATCCCTGCTCTCTGCCCATTTCTACCCTCTTCTCTTGACTTCCTCCTCCTGTGTCTGTTTCCCCTTTTGGGTGTTTATGTGTACATCATATGTTGTTTCCCCAACAACAACAAGAAAAAGAAAGATGCAATGAATATTTCACATAAAAGGGAAGAAGACAATCCACAATGTTAAATCACTTCCTGCCCCTTCTACTATCACACAGTTTTTGTGTTGCAGTAGCTCCAAAGTCTGTAGTATTCTCAGTCAGAAGCAAGGCAAGTCTTTGAGATTCACCAAGGGAACGCAAAGAACTACCAGCTTCACCTGCAGGGTTATGAGACCTCTTGAGGACATTCTACAAGGCCCATAGCACATACATCATAGCCTTTACTGAATGGCCAGATGCAAGGTGATGCATCCCCCTTGATCTCAGTGTAACACGGCAACATCTGCTGCTCTACCTTGGGGATACAATGAAATCAACTTTCCATGTTATTGCACTGATGATGACACCATGTTTGTTATATGTACCTCTCTTCTGAGCTTACAAGCCTGAATCTATCCCTTTTGATCTTTCAGATGCTACTTCAGTTGGTCAGTTGTTCTGCACTTGCTGTTCTCTGTGTAGGGGTATGCCAGTAATACGCATTGGGTTTTTGCTTTATATGTTGGTTGAGATTCCAGATAGAAGATATAGGGACAATTGCAACATTTGGACAAGTAGAAGGCATGATAATTGACACTACACTCTCTGGTCCACAGCATGCTCGACAACTGCTAGGCCTGAGGAAAGGAAAGCAATCAATACTTAGATCTCATTCATTCAGTTTCCTTCTTATGACCTCCAAAGAGTTGCAGTATGTTACTGCATCATTCTTCCAACACAAAAGAGGCACCAGTCATGCATCAAAAGTAGGTGGGGTTCCTCATTCATCGACTGGAACATAACTGAGAGTTCCTGGGAAGAATAATGGTAGACAGAGAAGCAATGGCAACTTTATACTAGAGTTCTGAGAGGAAACACACAACAGGATTGTCACAAAGGAGCAGATCCAGGTCCTCTGCTGCAGCAGCAGAGATGCAATGCAGCTGATACAGAACTTGCCGCAATGTAGCAAGTGCTTCAGAGACACTAGGGACTTGTCACATCTGTGTGATTCAATGTGAAAGGATGTTAAACAAGACCAGCATATAACTGATGTAACTGAGCATGCCTTGCAAGTATTTGCTGCCTCTGGGAGTTAGGAAACCTCAGCAGAATTCCACAGCCAAGAACCACAAGTAGACCTAAGATGGAAAGCAGGACCTATGCTGAAGCCAAAAAAGCCAGAAACTGTAAGTGTTCCTTGCTAAAGAATATACAAATGGCAGTTCTTTGGTCTAATGGTTCTCTCCTTGTTTAGAAGCTTGTTCATTGCTATTGGTAGAATAGCCAATTCTGGTCAATAAAGCTCGGACAAAGGTCAGAGCCCCATGCACCCATCTTCCTATTTTGGCACCATGGGTAAAATCCACTTGCCTGCATGTAGGCCATCAATTAATGCCAGGCCACCTGCATCCTCCTGGCACCATCCTTGTCATTGATAAGCTCCATTTTCTTCTATTTGTTTATCTTTGGTACTTGTATGGTTAATGTACACACAAAATGGAGAGGTCCAGCTTGCTATGCTGCCTCTACCACCTTGGTTTTTCTTTTAAATTCTCCCTTGCAGATGCTGCTGTGCCAAATAGTTATGAGTACATGCGTGTAGGCGGATTAGGTCCTCCCGCTGTTCTACTCCTCTGCAAGACATTTCATGTTTGTTTGGGTACACTGTGCTAGAAAGCAAAAGAAAAGAAACTAATTGATGTGCAGCCAAATCAGACACATGGCTGCCAGGAAGGAATAGTTTTGTCCACAGGATGTGCAAAAGCATGCCTATGATAAAAAGCAGAATGTTTCTGTTTATCTATCAAGTTTATATAATTACCCATTCCACGTGTGTCATTGAGGCTAGTATACAACGGAGCTAAAAACATAAAATTAATAAATATTATAATAATTATTAAAACATTAAAAAATTAAAGAAGACAGAATATTAGGCAAAGACATTAATAAAAATGTAGCTACCTTAATAACTCCCCATACAACAATTCACAATTCACCAATGCAGTGAGTTTATTTTATGGATTCTCTAAAAGGACCTTGAATGCACACAATGTCCATCAAATAAGAACTTACACTACTAGGTGCATGGACATCATGTCAGTGAAATGATGATTCTCAGGGACCACTGTAGCCAAATTTTGTGAGTGCTACTTCTGCAACATTCAAGACGTCACACTGCTCCTACATCTAACTGCCATTATGTTAATGATTTATGAAGGCATTCGCTTGGTGGCAGGCTTATGTGAAGCAGCATACAGCCACTTGTAGGAATGAGATAGAGAAAACATTCAGGCCATTGAAGGCATGATGATAAAAAGTATGTGTGTTGTTGTTGTCGTCGTCATCATCATCATCATCATCATCATCATCATCATCATCATCATCATCATCATCATCACAATCTTCATCATGATGTATGGCCTGATTAGTTGAGGAATTGCCTGACTCCCATAACAGCTGCCAAGTTGGTTTGATCTGACAAGATTAGTGAGCTTCATGCCTTTCAACTAAGTGATCCACTGTTTTTTTCACATTATTATTATGGTTCGTCATAGAGTCAACCAGGCTCTATGATACCAGACTGGATTTGGTATTTTTATTTACTGACTGAATACTTCACAAGAACCTGGGATAGTCAGATGTTGATGTTTGATGGTGTTAAAGATTGTAAGCTGTTCTGAGTCAATCTCTGTATATTTGTGATGGATAAAACATCTTTCCTTCCAGGAGTTCTACAGCTGCTGGCCATGGTTGGTCAACCAACAGTCTTGTCCTGTAGCCCATTTTCACTAGATGTCCAGGAACTCCAACACCTAACATGATCCTGATTGACTTGGGTGATGACCAAGCTGGTATGTGTTTCTGTAAATTGTATCTCACCATATTTTTATGAGAGAAACACTCTTCATCTGACTCCTCTGGTCAGATTTTTCCAGTACGGTTGATACTCTAGTATAGCTCTCACCTTCCTCAGAACACACAAGCCCAAGAAACCATATCAAGGCAGTACCTCACTTTGTTATTCGTATGATGTTGTACAACATTTGCAAAAGCAAGTACATATCATGTTGCCTACTGACATGGGACACAGGGCTGTTGTTGTTCACCCAGAGGGAGACACATTGATCTCATAACCAGCACTAAGTAATTGAGGGCTGAGTTGGTACTTTAGCAGACCTAATTTGGTCATGCATGCATTGTGACTGGGAGCTGTTCCCTCCTCCAATTTTAGTCATATTATGGAGAGATCTACAGAGCAGTAATTCAGAAATATATTTACATGAAATAAAAATAGCAGCTATTTAATCTATATTGTTATAGATTAATTATTATACAGGACATCAGAAATTTTGATTGCTTAAGAGATAATTATGCAGTTATATTGTATCAAGCTCCAGTTGGTTTAGAGTCAGGAAACATTTTCACATATGTCATGTACTGTAGAGTATATTGGGAACATGCAGTGTCAAAGTACAGGGAGAAGCTGCTCATAAAATGTCAAATATGACAAGCATGATCCCATAATAATATAACTTTGCCATTAAGGAACATTTTGAATTCACAGCCCAGTCACCTTTCTTGTCTATAAATACCTACTGCTATCCCAAATTCACTACCTCAAATTTTAATCTTGGCAGAAAGGTAGTGCTTTAAAGAAACAGGCAGAAGTAAAGTAGAAAGTAGTTCTGTAGTAGATTAATTCAGGCTGAGAATATTCATAAAACATCATAAGCTTCAGCTGGTAGCATTTGAGGCTCTGTGGGCAATCTGCACCCCTCAATCAGCATATGATGTACCTCTGCATTGTGAGCTGCATTGGCTGCCAGTTTGCTTCTGGGTACAATTTAAGGTGCAGATGTGAGCTATAAAGCCCTTCATGGTATGGAACAAAGTTATCTGAAAGATAATCTCTCTCCAATTACATCTATCCATCCCATCAGGTTTAGCAGGAGGGACATGCTCTGGGTCTAGTCAGTGGCTTCTACCCTGTTGACATCATCCCGTGGAGATCAGAGTGGTCCCAATCCTGTTGGCTTTTCACAAAAAGCCTTGAAATTTTACATTACCAATGAATTAAAAATGGATTTGCTAAAATACTAAAACACGAAAGTGCCAAAACATTACTTTAGAATATGCTCTTTGTTACAGTATCCAATCTTGGTTCTGCAGATCACCTTAGCCATCAGACTGCCAAACAAAGTTTTGCCACTGCTCAGATAATATTGCATTCACAATCCTCGAGTGAGCATTGATATAAAAAACATGCAGAATTTATAGACTATCTCCATGATTTTCTGTATAAAAGAGGAAGATGTGATACAGATTCTATCGTATGTACAACACAGAGAAGCAGCTATATAATTGTGATTAACCAATAAAAAAGAAACAAATAAGAGAAGTGTATAACTTTTTTCTTGTCAGCAAAAGCAACTTATCCTGCTGGACAGGTAGTTTAATGACCGTTTGAAGTTAATACGGCACTGAAAAAAGTAACTTATGACCAGATTTTACACTTATGACTGTTGCAGCATGCCCACAAAGCCATGTGATACAAATTGAGCATTTGGCAACCTGAACGTATTTATGTGAGTTACACTGTCATGTGATCACCATTAGTAACCTTTCAAGCTGGCTTTGGACAAGCAAAGTCAATGGCGGAAGATAGATTCATTTAATAACTACTTGATTCACTTAACAACTGTAGCAATTCACTTAACAACCGTGGTAAAAAAAGGCCATAAAATGGGAGAAAACTCACTTTACATCTGCCTTTACCAGAAATTTTGGGCTCAAATCGAAAAAAAACTACCTTTACTGTGAATATGTTCAGTTTCTGTAACTATCTAGTTCATGAATGCAGAATTGTTTCTGGAAGAGTAGAGTTGTATAACTGTTCACTGGGAAGTTTCATAGCTTTGTACTGTGTCTATATTTTCTTTTTACTAAATGCTGTCAAGGATAAAATAAATTCCATTAAAAAATAGCACTTCTGCTTCAGCATTTCTCTTTAATATCCAATCCATAATCGCTATCATGTTAACAAAAATGGGTGTTTGAGAGGACAGAATGCTATTTTTGGCCAGATAAATCCTCTATATCATTTTATAATATTTTAAGCACAGTTAAAACTAAGAAACTGAGAGCCATGCTAAGCTTCTTTCCTCTGTGATGCAGTGTTTCTTTCAGATATTAAAATAAATGCTAACAGCTAAAAATTTAAATATATTTAGTGAGGAGAGAAACAGAATATAATATAGTAACAGACTGAATTCAAGCACTGAACACTGATAGTTTTTAACAAAAGTACATTATAATGCACCTCCAGCAATCACAGGATTAAAAGCATAATCCCAGAGAATCGTCTGGATTTGAACTAACATCATAAGGCCTAAATGAATGATAGAAGAACTTCAATCTATTCATTATCTGAAACATTAGAAAAGTTTTCAATTCCCCTAACTTCAGAATTTCCAGAAAACAAAGGAACAAACAAAAACACAGTGCAAGTAAAAGTGAATCAAGCAGATTTGGGTGTGACTCTGAGCCTTTTATGCTTAATTCACCTTTGAAGCTTCTGCAGTTTGATGGATTTATTTGTGTGCCTTTAGTTAAAGTGATTGCCCTGGATTTTGTCTTCCTATTTTAATCAGTTAATCCTGTCCCAGGACCTTTGCCTTCCTATCCTGGGGGTTAATCTTGTCAAAGGAAGGGGCAGGAAAAGGGAGTTTTGGTTTACCTTGGAGAGTTTATTTTTAGCCTGATTCCTCTTATCTTAATGGCTCTACTTAAGTATTTCTTTTGTAACAGCCGTTTTTCCTCTGAGCTGGTGCTTCTTGGTTTTCTTAAAGGGGGAAGGGCTGGTTTGAGTCTTTTGGCACTGTTTTCTGAGGCTTCTGGTGCTGTGTAGTTTCTGGCACTGTCCTTTTGGGGTGCACTTCCCACACTAGGATCTGTTGAGATGTAAGTTGTATGCTGGCCATGTGATGTTTTGCTTAACTAGTGTAAGGATTTGCTTAACCGCCAATGTGATTATATGATGTTAATTTGAATAATTATTTGACATGCTCATATTTTCTTCATTTCACATATTTTTAAATAGCAATCCAAATGGTTGTCACATAAAATATGACAGTGACTTTCCAAAAATGCAAATTAATTTATAGCAGACTTTTAGAGGATTGAACACTGAAGGAAGAGAAGAAAACAAGTTAAAATCTCAGCAGACATTGCTGATGGAATAACTGGATAAATGTCTCACAATATTGACTCTCTGATATGGGATCACAATTGTTGTGGGAAGTAAGAAAATATACATATAGATTTCATACTGAGAAATATTTTTTATATATTTAAATAGGTAGTAGCCTTTAGATCTATAAATTTAACAGAGGATCTCTGAACCAAAGTAGCTTGGCAATAAAGTAATAGAATTGCATCACATAATGACATAAGCTCTGACAATTTTGTCAGGCATTCTGACATATTTACATTTTATGTCAGAGAAGATGTGGCAGTTGACATTTATCTTTGTGGATTCAAGTATAGATAGAGTTTGTCTTTATGCAAACAATAGTTTGTTAAATTATTGGATTGTACTCTCTGTGACTTCAACCTGTACTCTCAGGTTGACAAGATAGGATTTGTTTCATCGGCAATGAAATCTGTATTTTTTTTTTAAAAACCACATTGTTCAACATACAGATGTCTGAATAATTTTAATTAGAAGAAGGAGGAGGAGAAGGAAGAAGAGGAGGAGAAAAAGAAGGAAAAAATAAGCAGGAGAAGGAAAAGAAGAAAAAGGAGAAGAAGGAAGAGGGAAAGGTGAAGCAGGAAGAGGAGGAGGAGAAAGAAAAGCAGCAGCAGGAGGAGAAGCAGGAGGAGGGGGAAGGGGAGGACAGGGGAGAAGAAAGGGAAAAGAGGAGCAACTCCCATCAGTATCACATCACTGCACAGTTTTTACAAATATACCTAGTGGAATGAATCAGCCTTCCAAAATCTTAGTGTTTATAGACTGATACTTTGTTTAATTATATTAAATAAAGAAGGATTTTCCTCTTACTATTAAATGTGGCTGGGAATACCTGGAGTCAAGCAACAGGAAAGGAAAATAGCAGTGTGAATTTTCTCCACTGAGAAATATGGTACAAAACTTTCACCTGTCAGTAATATGGTACAAAAAAGCAAAGACTATACAAAGACAACAGCTAAAGTTTAGATGGATCATGGAAAAATTTCCTTGAACAGAATCAGATTTATTCTCACACAATTTATTGGATTCATTTATAAAATTTATATCACAATTTTTAATCAGAAGCTCAAAGCAGTGGAAGATATTCCCAGAGATATTCATATGCAAAGTTTACAAGTATGTATAAATTCTGATTTTTTTTTGACAAAATCTTGAGGTTTGTGAGCCCAATATTATATGAAACTTCATTTGACAATCTCCTGGGTAAGGAATGTAGAAGAGAAGATAGGACAGGATAAAGAAAGGAATATTCTTGATAGGGTAGTATTTTAGCACTTCAATATTTAGTAGCCTTCTCTTTTAGTATTTCAGAAATTCAGTATTTTAATAATTTTAAAATTTAGCTTTTTAACATGCTGCACTCTAGCTCAATTTGTCCTAAATCAGCATCATTTGCTTATTAATTTTTCCTTTCCCTCCTAAAGAGTTATTGTCTCTTAACATCCAGTAATAAAGGATTCACTTAACTAAGAATATTAACAATTGATAAAAAAGATTGCCTATTACAGTACCTGCTATCAATTTTGTTATCGCTAGTGGGTAAGTACGCAATAAGTACAAGGACTTTGCTTGCTAAATCTTGACTTATTGAGTAATTAAATG